GGTCCAGCGGCGTTAGCACGGACATCCCCGCCCTCTAACGCTGTCTCTTATACACATCTAGATGTGTATAAGAGACAGGTGTGTGTGTGTGTGTGTGTATACGCAGATGGGCTTTGGCGCAGGGGGATGGGCTGGAGGACGACGAGGAAGAAACCCCGAAAGAGGGGAGTTATAGTGAACACAGCGAAGGGGAGCAGAGCGAAGAAGAAGAAGAAGAAGAGCAAAGCGAAGAAGAGGAAGAGCTAGAACTGGAGAAGTCTGAGTGGGAGATCTCGACGGAAGAGGCGGAACAAGCGGATACCCTGGCAGAAGACCCCGAGGCGGCGCACAAGAGAGAGGAAATTGCGGTCGGAAAGCGACAGCTGGAATTCGCCAGCGGGGCCAATCTGCAGATCGTCGACGATCCGACCCGAGATCCAGAGCCGCCCAAGCCCGAAGATGGAGATCCAGCGGCCGAGACTTCGACCGCACCAGCAAGGCGGCGACGAAGCCGATCCCCCTCCCCCTTCACCTCCGACTATCCATCAGTTCGAGCCTGTACTGATGCGGGCCATCGGGCTTCGTCCCCGGTCATTATCCCGCGGTCCCCTTGACCATCTCACCCTTCGCCAAATCACCACCCGTGTGACCTTCCCCCGTAACCCCTTCCTCATCGATACCTTCCGTTTCTTCTACGTTACCTGCCTCGTTGTTAGTGTTCATCCCCATCCCTCGACCCAATGCGCCCTCCCCAATCTCTGCCTTCACGCCCTTCTCCTAAGTGTCGCGGGACGAGGGCACAATATCGTCGAAGTTTATTGCATGACTACAAGGACTATCCCTGCATGCGAAGACTATGACCAGTTCCGCACGACACTCTTCCTCACCTTCACCACCTTGTACCCCGACCACCTCGCCTCCCTCCCCCATAGTGGTAATCGCTTCCCCCGCTTCCATAGAATCGTCCGTTACCAGGAGCTTACAGAAACTGTAGTCGAGGTGGAATGATTCTTGCCTCCGCTTCCCGCTAACCCACCCCCTCGCCATGCCCCCATGTATCAGCTTCCGTTTCCCCTCCCCGGTGGACATTGATGATCGATGATCGATTGATTGGTGTGCGTGCCACAACGATGGCACGAATAATCCCCTCCTTGGATTGACAAGAGCCCCCTTGAGAAATTGTAGGACAGAGCTTGCATGCCACGTTGGATGACGTCCACACTCTTTCACACGGTAAGTGGCCATGTAGAAATCTCCGCGCGTCGACCGATTAGAGAAGTCGACACATGTCAAAATTCAAGCAAGCAGGAGGTTGCTTAAGATTGGAACCCCCTGGCGTCACATATGTGACAAACCGATTTTTGTTCCGCGTGATCTTCTGCGTGGTAGCAACGAGGGGTCCTAAGCTGGGAAGGATGGGCCAATTACGGGAGATTTGGATGGAAGGGAAATTGCATCAGTGTCCTCGCTTCTTCGTCCTTTTTCGTCGTCTTTCGGATGGTTGGGTTCAAGGCCGGGTGAGTCCCTGGACGATCGATTGGTGGATCGGCGGTGTGAGTGCCGCGCCGCCGCGTGCGCGATTAATAAATGTTGACATCGCTTCTTCTGTTTCGGTTTTGGAGTTTTGGGCGCGGACATCGCGCGTGAATTTTTCTTCGTTCTTTTTGAATTTTCTTTTTTAATTTTTTTTCGAATCTTGTAGAGCCCCGATGACTCTCGGAATTTCGGACTTTCTTTTCGGAACTTGTGCTTTTCGCTTTTCTGCATTAGATAGGAATTTAGGAATTTTGCAATTAGGATTTTATTTTGCCGCGCAACGCTTTTTGTTTACATGCTTCTTCATGCGGCTGCAACGAAACTCTGATTAGTTGGTGCCTTTAATCGTGTGAGTAACTGTAATTTTGGGCGGGCGCCATTGTAACTGTATCTTTCTTCTTGAACTTCGTCTCTCCCGCTCTCGCTTTCTCTTGCTGTGTCTAGCCTGCCCACGGACTGCATGCTTGGATCGCTGCGTGGAGAGAGGCTACGTCCCCCACGCCGCGATCTGGCCATGCAGAACGTAGGCGCTCCCTCTCCTGATCTCCTTTCTAAGTCCTTGCAATTCCGTGTTCTTCGCGCATGCATGCACGCTATAAATTCCGGCTGCGCGATTAGATAGCTCTCTTAACCAATTGTTGGAAGCTCGGGGTAGCGCGATCACTGATCAGTGAGGGTCGGCTCACGAGCGAAGTAAGAGGTGAGTTGAAGTGGGAGTCGGGTGACCCGGCGAGCTGGTGCCAAACGCGCAGGGTTGACGCGGGCCAGGACGGAGTGTGGGCGCGGGCGAACCTGACGGGTGCGGGAGGACTAAGCGGGGTGACGACTTCGTGGGTTGGTGCGCGACAACGGACTGTCTG